AGATCATTAGTCACATCCTACGAACAAAACGTGGTTACAGTTGCCCTTTGTGTTCTCCTACGTTCAAAATTGATGGCCAATGCCCTATTAAGATTCCTTTGGTGAAAACTGTTGGGATGAATAGCTTTTGAAAAGCTATAAATGAAATTCCTAATTAATTATCCAGTATTTTCCTATAATACTTAAATAAGATGGATAATTAATAAAAGGAATATTATGGAGATAATTAGAAATAATTATCTTAATAGATTATATTTTAATTATGGGAGTAATTATCTCCCTAATTAAAATATGACTTATTCCCAAAGAAAGGGGGAATATTCCGGGTTTTCTGCTCCTATAAATAGGAGACGCCCCAGACCCTCTAAACACGACTCAGAAGAGCAGAAACACGAGAGATAGTGAATTTATAGAGCTCCGGTTTTTCGCACAAAACTGATGAGCAACAAATCAGAATGGTTGTTTTATCCTGGAGGCGACCGGCTGATAATCTGCTGTGCGCATTACGAGGCAGTGCCACGAACGTCTTAAAGAGAGCGACCTAGTCCGCGACTCAGCCAAATCGGTAACCCTATTGTTTGTTCGGTTTCTAACAATTTTAAGACGTTCGGTTGCTGTTGTATCTACCGAATAGGGTTGTCCGATCGTTGGACCGATTCTGGCGACCATGGTCGCTTTGTTCTTCTGAGTTCACCATTCCCTTAGCCTTTGGCCGGATCGTATATGTCCTCACTAATCTTTCTATATGAGTTTTGGTTATTGTGTTAATTGGTATGATGGAGAGAGTCGCAGCAAGGGCACGAAGGCGAGAATTGGAGCGACGGAGTCCTGGAGTCTCGCTGCAGCTAGCTTTGGTATCTGCGATCAGATGCCGCCACGGTCAACCATCATCGGCCGTTGTGACAAAAATTGAAAAAAGGGAAACAAGCCCGATAGGCGGCCAGTACAGCCGTTGTGGTAAAGAGTCCGAGTTTCACAGGAAGTCGAACACTCTACATAGCCTTTTGGCCTTGGAGAGTTGTATTCTCTTAATTATTTAATCTCTTTTTTCTCTACGCTTTTGTTGGTAATCTGGCTGCTTTAGGGTTGCGATTAATTACCTAGGGTTTTGTGTACCTGCCACCGCGGATGGAAGGAGACGAAGTTGGAGTATGGGAAATTAGACCCAACAATTAAATGGGCCAAAGACAAGAATTATTGTCATACATCTAAAGGAGAAAGGCCAAATAATAATATGGGTTTCGTAGGTTTTGAAAACCCAATAAGAAGCTAAAAGCATGCAAGTGGGCTTGGGCCTTGCTGCTGTCAGCAAACGAAAACATATGGTGGCCCATCGAAAGAAAATGGTGTGCTGTGGTGGCAATTAAATCGGAGAGAAGCATGACAAGAAACAAGGGAGCTAGAAGTGGTTCTAGCTATTCGTGCAAATTGAGAATGCAACGATTCATCGAAAAGAGGTAAGAATTAAAACCTTCTTTATGAATCATTATGATGAATGATAAGCTAGAATCTATTTCTATGCATGCAATTGACAAACTCATGTGAATGCAAGAAAGTAAAACTAGAATTAATGCATGTTGACATTGAGATGTGGTGTCTCAATGATTAGAGTGTGCATTGAATACATGCTATGGAAAGAATATATGATTTTGTCTAAATGTCTGCATTGAAGAATATATGGGAATAGAATGGGTTTATTGCCCATAATAACGATATTGTAAGAAGTACTATTATTAGTACTACACGAACCACTTAGGCTGCTCTGAAACATTAAAGTTTCAAGAATGAGAGCAGCAAGCCGAACCAGATCCATACCAAATAGAATGGTACCCCTTGTGGTAACCATAAGATTGTCACCCAATCCTCTAAGAATGACGTTATGTTTCTCTGTTAAAAATGTGTGAAACTAGGTCATAAGACACGAAAGTGTAAGAACAAGTTTAACCTAGTGTTAACTTGACTAAAGAAGAGGATTTGGTAATAATATTCACTGAGGTGATGACAGAGGTTAGCCTTGATGGTAACTCTGAAGAATGGTTGTTGGATAGGACCGCTTCAAGATATGTGTGTGATAAACGAGCTAAGCTCAATCATACATTGACGCGTATTGAAGGAGAAAGTATTGTTGGGCAAGACCCTCACCACTATTGTTGATGGTTCTGAAAAAGTGGAAGAGAACCCTGCCTCTAGAAAGTCATTGACTATCCTAGATGTAAGGAATGGTTAAGTAGATAAGATAAATTCTTCCAAGTGTGTCTGTGTGAAGAATTAGAATATCTTATATCGCATTCCCATATTATTATTGGATGCTTGAGAAAAATATGAATTTTCTATATCCAAGCTAAATGACCCATAAATATGTGATTAGAGAATCAGAATAAATAAATCTAATTTATGTTGATATGGGTAAACTTGATGAAAAAGACAATAAATGGTTTATTGCTCTTTAGAGTGCTCTGATTGTCTGACTAGTTATTTGAAATGGTTTGAAATGCCTAATTGCATTATGATTGCACTGATTATTCGATATGTGGCATGCATGTGGTAGCGTTAGAAAATCAGTGTAGCATGATAACTAGAAGAGCATATGAGTGTGTTTTATGTTGTTAACAATAAAAACATATAGTTCCTATGAATGAAATACTCATTATGTTGTGAATCCATGAATGCCAATAGACTTTCATTTAAAATAAAGAGATAGTGGGGGTTGTATCCTGCCTACTATTAGAAATAATGGATAACTAGTGGGGGTGATGAATCTGAGTATGAACTCAGAAGAGACAAATAAACCATAAATTACGAAAGGATTTTGGTTATGAATTTGTTATTTACACCCTAAGAAAGAAAGATCCTACAAGTCTGCTAGAAGTTCTAACTTCCATAAAGATGCAGAATTGTGGGAGAATCCATTATTAACGAAATGGAATTATTGGAGTCTAATAAGACTTAAAATCTTGTAGAGTTACCTCTTGGTTGAAAAGCCTTGGGTAATATATTGATAGAATCGAACAAGATTTGGCATCTTTGAGAATTACCTCTTGGCAATGAAGTCATGGGTAATAGATGGATTCTTAAAAGAAAAATTGAAACCTATTAGTTTAGTTTATGATTATAAGGATCGCCTAATAGCTAAGGCTTTAAGCGAAAAGGAAAAATTGTAAATTTTTTGTTATCTATTCACCATATGTAGAATAACATCCATGTATGTTCTGATTGCTAGTGTTGTGCATCAGATGGATTGTTAAACATGTTTATGTGAATGGTGATTTAGATAGGAAAATCTACATGGGATAACCTATAGGGTTGTTATTCTTGAACATGCTTAGGGAGTCTATAGTTAGACAAATCATTGTAAGATTTGAAATAGACTCTAAGACGATGGCATGAATAAACTGGTTCTCTCTCATGGTTTTAAAAGTGAAAGTGACAAAGTGCATTTAGTACAAATTTGAGAATGACACTTGCATTATGAATGACACATCGATCTTTGGTACAAAGACTCGTGATGTCAATATTGAAAAACCATGATGGTTGAGAATTTTGAATGTGAAGGATCTAAATGAAACAAATGTTATGCTTAGAGATCCTAATAACTAGGAAAATACAAGATGTACACCTGCATACATGTTTGATGATGCTAGTATAAATATTTGAAGAACACCTAAGACGGTGTAAGAAAGTTAGAATATACTAGCATTTACTGTCTGCGAGAGGCAGCTGATAAACATGAAACCCGATTTAGTGGGGGGTACTTGGCAGGCTTACTGATTGTCCTAGTATGAAGCATTGAAATGCTATTGAAAGGGGTCATGAGACACCTTAAAAGAACAGGAAAAAACCTTGGTATTTGTTATTAAAGGTTTTGCTGTATTGGTAGGGTATAGTGATGCGGATTAGAATACCCTATAGAGGACTCCAAGACAACAAAAGGATGTGTTTTAAACATCGATAGAGAAGCTATGTCTTGGAAGTCTAAGAAGTAAACGATCCTGGCTCAATCAACTAAGAAATCAGAAATGATAGATCTAGCAATGGCTAGTAAAAAGAAAAGTTGATTGAGAGGGTCATTACTAGAGATTCCCTTATGGGAAAGACCGATCCCTCCGGTAGTTGATTCATTGTGATAGCACCGCAGCTATTACTAAAGAAGGGAACCGGTTCTAGAACGAAAAGAGACGACAAATTTGTCGTAAGCACAGTACTGTAAGAGAACTCCTAACGATAGGAGCAATGAGGGTGGATCATGTAAGATCCTAATAGAATCTAGTTGATCCTTTGACGAAAGGATTACCTAGAGAGAAAAGTCCAAAATACCACAGAAGGTATGAGACTTATGCCTACCGAACCATGGATTACAAGTGATGGTAACCCGACCCGATAGACTGGAGATCCCAAGAAACGGGTTCAATGGGTAATAACAAGTCATGAGTAATATTGAGAAAAGTTCATGCATGGTGAAGCATGAATCCCATAGTCTTGGAGGTTGAGTTAAACTCTTAATGAGATCTATACTCTATGTGGAGTGAATTACTTTACTTTGGGGGTACTTCTGATAGACTCACCTATGTGAATGTGGGAGTGAGGCCGCTCCCTATGGAACTTTGGAGGCACAAAGTTGCTAGAGCGTTCACTAAACCGGGATAACGTGCATGGCCATAAACGCACAGCCTATGAGAGAATATCACTCAATGAAAAGATCCGGTGTGCTACATTGTCTGAGATAGGGTTCAAGATTACGAGTCACCCTTATGAAAAGATCCGGTGTGCTACATTGTCTGAGATAAGGTTCAAATCTTCGCGATACCTTAGCTTATGCCCGATCTTATGGAACTGTTGATGCTCAAGATAGTTTCAAAACTATTCAAGTGGGGGATTGTTGGGATGAATAGCTTTGAAAAGCTATAAATGAAATTCCTAATTAATTATCCAGTATTTTCCCATAATACTTAAATAAGATGGATAATTAATAAAAGGAATATTATGGAGATAATTAGAAATAATTATCTTAATAGATTATATTTTAATTATGGGAGTAATTATCTCCCTAATTAAAATATGACTTATTCCCAAAGAAAGGGGGAATATTCCGGGTTTTCTGCTCCTATAAATAGGAGACGCCCCAGACCCTCTAAACACGACTCAGAAGAGCAGAAACACGAGAGATAGTGAATTTATAGAGCTCCGGTTTTTCGCACAAAACTGATGAGCAACAAATCAGAATGGTTGTTTTATCCTGAAGGCGACCGGCTGATAGTCTGCTGTGCGCATTACGAGGCAGTGCCGCGAACGTCTTAAAGAGAGCGACCTAGTTCGCGACTCAGCCAAATCGATAACCCTATTGTTTGTTCGGTTTCTAACAAAAACTGACTTCCCAAGGCCAATGAAGAGTTCCTAACACAATTTCTCAGTTAACAAATAAGAACCTCCATGAGACTTCTGCTAAGGTATCCCAACTCAACCAGACTATACAGAGCGCGAGTAGCAAAACAATGATAAATGAAGTTTATGCGAAAACCAGCAAACAGATACTCACGATTTAACTCAACATGAGTCATTTCGTAAGTTGCGAGCGTCCTCCAACTCTGTCGGCAAAGATAGCAGCATAGCATCTGCACAATGCTCAGAGTCGAGTATAGGAACTTTTTAAGCTAAAAGAGGGCATCTGCTAGTGAATCACCAAACTTTATCACCTTCAATAGCATTCATACAACATAATGCAAACACGAACGAATGCCCACCTGCCACCTCAAAGAAGGGGACTCCTAACTTCTAAACATATCACTTTGATAATCAATATGTAAATGAGCTTCCGTCAGAAGTTCACCGTCAACTCATAGCTCAATTGCTGGTCATTGCTGCTTCAGTTAATGAAGACATCCTATAGAGAATTCTCATAATGTCAGATGGACACATGAGATTCTCAGTACATAACAAACAAAGAGATTCTCAGAAAAATCAATGGCACGTTCCTGAGTCCTTTCCTAGATAAGAATTTTCCAGTAAAGAATGAACAAACCAAAAACTCAGCACCAAGGTTCTAGATTTAGCTATTTCAATCCAACCATGCTGAACCCAACACACATGCACACAGAGACCTGAAAAAGGGAGTGAATTACTGAAGCCTTTAAGCTTTTTACCCTGACATATATCAAGCATTATGAGATACTATCTATACTAGTTCCAATTGCCAAGAGGTTGAGCATAACCAACCAACTCTGACCCAAATACGCATTATTCTGAGGATACAAGAAAATCCAGAGTTGATAGGGTTTTACAAACGGTGGCGGTTGCTCTGATTTGGATATGTTCTTTGCAATTCAAAACATCTTCCATATATAGAACAGCTCAAGTTAAAATAAAGCTTCCGAATTTGACAAATGCAAGTAAGTGAAGGAAGTACCACGATCTGTTTTTTCACTTCTTGGTGGCGGATAACTCCACCGGCGTTTTGGCGGCCATGATTGAAAGGGCATGCAACCCGGATTGGAGCTCCTCCGCCAGCGCATCGTAGACGAGGCGGTGGCGATTCACGAGGCTGAGGCCGTCGAATTTGGGAGAGACGATCTTCAAATTGAAATGTGTCTCCCCGGCGGTATTTCCCCTCATGGCGGCATGACCTGCGTGCTGATGCGAGACGTCCTCGATCTCCAGAACCGTCGTTTGCAAGGCAGACTGCAGCTTCGTCTGAATCCTCTGCGCCCTTGACATGATCGCCGTCGCTGCTCTAGAGCCCATCCCCTCTGGAACTTGCCGCCGCAGAAAAAAACAATGAACTTTCCTCGGCCGCGAGCTCCGGAGAATCGTAGCTCTTTGACGCTTGATGGATTAGGCTTGCAGTTTGCCTAGATTGGGCCCTGATCCGCCTCAAAGTCTCCCTGGTCGATGGGCCTTCTCTTAAATGGATATTTTCCCATTAAAATGAAACCCACCATTTGGGCTTGTACACCAATTTCTCTTAATATGCTCCATAATGGGTGAAAAATCACAAAGTACACTAGTTCTTAAAAAAAATTCCCAAAATACATAAGTTATAAAAAAATTTCCAAAAGTACACATATTTGAGAATCACCGTTTTAGACAAAAGCGGTGAAGGTCATCACCGCGTTTGACGAAAACGGTGAATACTTCACCGTTTTAAACAAAAACGGTGATGTATTCACCGTTTCAAACTAAAACGGTGAAGGGTTCACCGCGTTTGTTAAGAACGGTGAACACCTCCCCGTTTTAAACTAAAACGGTGAAGCCTTCACCGTTTTAGACTTCCACGGTGAAGGCGCTGACGTGGACTAACGCGGGGTATTCACCGCGTTAGACAAACACGGTGAATACCCGTGTTTGTTTGCGTCAGCGATCCGCGTCGCTGGCGCGTTCACCGTGTCCGTAGGATGCGATGAGGCGCGGATCGTGGTTTTCTTTCCAGATCCGACGCCTCACGCTGAGCCACGTCGCTCGATCCGCGCCTCATCACCGTGTTCGAGAAACGCGGTGCCTTCACCGTTTCTGACGGACGCGGTGAAGGCTGGGAGAATTTAATTCTCGGCAGATCCCTTCCCCCCTTCCCCCAACTATAAATAACCCTTCCCCTTTCACTTTCAACTCACACCACAAACATTTCACTTCTTTCTCCCTCAATTTATCCGCTCTAGTCTCGTTCTAAGTATGCTCTGTGGTTGCGGCTAAGTCCGATCTTCCACATCAGAAAGAATTACTAGAGTTTGACCCTAAAGCCCCCGTCCCGCTAAGTTCCCATCCCTTACAAACCTAAACCCGTCGAACCTCTATCCGGCTTCCGCCAATAATGGACGAAGAGGCTCTTCGTGTAGGTTTTTGGTTTATGATTTTTTTTAATCGAAACAATTTGATTTTTTTTATCAAAACAATCTCTGATTTCATTACTTTTTTATAGATGGGTGCCGAGATATACGGAGTCTATTGTGCAGCACCAGCCAAAAGAAGAAATTCACCCTGCTCAGTCCTTTCCAATTTCAAGGCTTCAATCCAAGCTCACTAAAGGCACTGCTTGGTGACAACACCATATTTGTTGTTATTGTAACAATACTAGTCTCCAATTAATAGGAAGTTAGGATTGTGAGGACTTTTTACTAGCTTAGTTGACCTAGTGTAAAATCAAAACAGGGGTATAATTGTCATTATGAAAAATATGTTTAAATAAAAAAATAATAAAAAAATAGATAAAATAAATATTTTTTTATTTTCTGTCCCAAATTTTGGTCGCCGGTCACCGAAACATGTTTTGTGTCGCCGGAATATGCTATTTTGTCATCGGAATATGCTTACCAGTGTCGGAATCTAGTCATCGGGGCCGGAATATGCCTATCAGCACCGGAATCTACTCATTGACGGTCATCGGAGTTTGGTCAACGGTCAACGACCACCGGATATAATGGTTTGCATTGTGAGATTGATGGTTTGGTTTCTCATGGTTTTTTTATGCTATTTGTGGTTTGCTTTATCGTGTTACTGGTTTGCATTAAGAAGTTTCTGGTGTGCTTTAAAAAAAATTTGTGGTTTGCTTTGCGGGGTTTTTGGTTTGTTTTAATAGATTTGTGGTATGCATCAGGACGTTTCTGGCTTGTTTTTGTGGTTTGCTTTACCGTGTTTGTGGTTTGCATTATAGGTTTCTGGTGTGCTTTCGCAAATGTGTGGTTTGCTTTGTGGGGTTTGTGGTTTGTTTTAGGAGATTTGTGGTATGCATTAGGAGGTTTCTGGTTTGCATTAAGAAGTTTATGTTGTGCTTTCGAAAATTTTATGGTTCGATTGGTGGGGTTTCTGGTTTGTTTTAATGGATTTGTGGTCTGCACTAGGAGGTTTTTGGTTTGCTTTTTGTGTTTTGCTTTACGGCGTTTGTGGTTTGCATTATAAGGTTTCTGGTGTTTTTTAGAATTTTGTAATTTGATTTGAGATGTTTTTATTTGTTTTAGGGGATTTGTTGTATGGATTTGAAGGTTTCTGGTAGTAGTTACTAGTTAGTAGAGAAACCTAGTTACTAGGTACTTTTTTTGGTTAAGAACTGATCGAGTATCATCCATAAAGTCAAAGATTAAGTCTCATAAAGACGAATTAAGAATTAAAAATCCTGAAAAGAGAAGAGTGTAGACACTAGGTCTCTGTTGCTGGTTTTGAATATGCCTGGAACAAGTAAACCAACATCTTCTTGTGATCCCCCAGTGTTTGGATCAATTAAAAATTGCACCTCTTGAAATCCATATGCATCAAGAAGGAGATTTAAAAATGACACCTGTTTCGTTGGCAAAACTCGGGTGTTCAATGTGCACTGTTTTCAAGTAAGCACAAACACACCGTCAGCAAAACCGTCAAATATCCGCCGCCGAATGTCGCGCCGTTGATTTGATCGATTAAAATAGAAATCATGACAACCGTCAAATATCCACCGCCGGCGTCGGCGATGTTGATTTGATCGATACACCTTTGACTTCTAATCAAACAACCGTTATTCGGTTCACCACCTCTCCAAACTACGTTCGAACGAGGGTGTTCGGCGAATAACCAGAAATCGAACCAGGAGTGTTCTAAGTTACGTTACCTCTACTGCTATGGAGGTTCCTCTGGAGAGCTCCGCGACTACGACTACTACGATCTACGACTCTGCAAAGGAGATCTTTGACAGAGAAGTTCTACGAACTAGAGAGAGAAAAGATAAATCTGCAACGGTGCAGTTTGTGATTTGATTTTGCTGTCTCGAGTCTCTCTCTCTTTCCAATCTTTATACTTCGCGCTTCTCCCCGTCGTGGTAACTGCCTTGGCGCCTTTGTCTCCCACGTCTTCATTCCTGTCAACCGTGCAGGTAACTTCCTCCTTGTTGCGTGATAATCACGTGCCCTCGAAACCGCTCTTGCTTTGCAGAAACTTGGCGAAACGACTTACCACCTTGTCCATGTAACGATGACGTTTCACCAATACCACGACATCGCCTTTCACCAACCGATGCCATTTTATGATCCAACTCAACTGCCCCGACCCGGTTTAACCAACAACATTGTTAGTCCATCAAACAACGTCGTTCTATACTCTTGCGCCGTCGTTGGGCTTGGCGGCTGCCTTTGGCCGAACTCTTACCACTACCGCGGTGTCGTTTTACTTTTCCGCGGCATCGCTTTTCATTAAACGACACCGTCTAAAATACTCATAAAATACTAATTAATTAAACCAGCCCTTATTGTTAACTCGCCGTCGAACTTTCACCCCTCGGCATCGTTCTTAGTTAAACAACATTGTTTCCTTGTCCCGCGATGTCGTTGAACTTTTGAGCTTCGCGACACTGTTTTGATTTTAACACTGTCGTTTTGACTGTTGCGACATCGCTTGGCCTACTCGCAGTATCATTTTTATAATCCGCAGTGTCGTTTCCTTCCTCTTGCGGCATCGTTTTCAACTAAACGACACCGTCCTAAATAATCATTAACAACATTAGTTAATTAATCCGGCCATCACTAGTCAAACTGGTGTGTTGACTGACGAAATCATTCGCGCCCAAAACGGCTTGGTTTGCCTTTCCCTTCGCGACATTTTTTTATTTAAATACTGTCGCTTGCTAATCCGCGGTACCGTTGGGCTTACTCGCGGTACCGTTTTACTTATCCGCAATGCCGCTTGTCTCCATGCGGCACCGCTTCTCCCTTTCCGACAAGGAAATACAATAATTATAAAATAAAACTCCTTCTCCACCACCACGCGCGCAACCCTCTTTTATTTTCATCAAGCGGTGTCGTTTTCCATGCCGCGGTACCGCCGAGCTTCCTTACGGTACCGTTTTTCTGTTTCGCGGTATCGTTTTAACTCTCCGCGATACCAGTTAACTTCAAACAACGCCATTTTTTACCCACGATATGGAATTAAATGCCAAGACTAATTAATGCGGCATTTAATTTCGGCCGGATTAATTTTTAGGTGTCAACAGCACCTCTTCAATTACACTATCTCTGCACGTTTGGAACATGGAGAGGAAATTAGACCACCCTTTTGCCACCCATTGCCGCATTGCTTCTGCATATTGTTCCACTATAAAATAAAACAATGAGCGAAAAAGCTGAAGGTAGAGGAAACAAAAAATCTACAAAGAAAATTCATATTCCATTGACAAACTCGTTCGCAGCGGCGCCGCTCCCGCTATGATCGCGAATCTCTTGGACGGGGAAGAGTGGTGAATTTGTAGGATATTTAGAATAGGATAAAATCGAGTCGCAGCTGGGCAACATGGGAGGCTCATCGAAGTCGTCAGTTGCCGACGTCGCCATGATTGTGAAGCTCTGTGAGAGGGAAAGAGCGACGGAGCTGCGGGACTAGGAGAGTATAAACGAGTCTGGGAAGAGCAGTATCACAGATCTGAGAGGAGGAGTGCCGGAATTTGATTTGGGAGAATGAGAATCCTCGCCGGTGAGAAAGAACTAATCCCGTCAGTGCCAAGGGATGAAGAAAATATTTTAATTGAATTTTTATTTTGTTATTTGAGTGAGTTGACTTTCTACCCTTAATTGATAAGTTTGTTATTATAACTAGGGATGACAATTACCCACCCATGGGTAATTTTACCCAAATCCACATAGATCCATTTAGTATGGGTAGGATTTGAATGAAGTGTATATGGGTTTGGGGGTTTGTAGATGAGTTTGGATTAGGTATGGATATTGCTTTCATTATGTAAATGGGTATGGGTTGGATATGGATATCCATTTACTTGAGAGTGTTTTAACTACACACACAAAAATTGGACATATTTGTAAAACTTGAAAAGTTTAGGTACCGAAATGTAAGACCAAAAAATTTTAGGTACTAAAATGTAATTTTCCATCAATATTTTTAGGATTTATATGCAAAAAAACTTAAATTTAGGTACTAAATATGCATATCTATTAAGTTAAGGTACCAAACTGTAATTTGCCTTTGGGCATGGGTACAAACCCAAATTCATGTGTTAAAAACCCAACCCAACCCAAGTAAATGGGTATGGGTACAAATCCATCTAACTCTACCCATCTACCATTTATTTGGAATCCATACCCAACCTAATTGGGTTGGATAGTAAAATATCCATGGGTATGGGCAAAATTGCCATCCCTAATTATAACAACACATTCGTTGTTGTTATTCTATCTTATCCCTTCATATGACCCTCCACAAGTTCGAATGATTTTTGACCAGTTTAATAGCATCAATGTGTTTGCGTCTACCATAAATCACTATTTTTTGGACAACTTAACAACATGACTATTATCATACAACACCCTTGTTCTTGTATTTACGCTCCTCTTCCATCACATTTGCTCTAGGGCCCTTCAAAGTCAAAACGCACAAATTCGTACACTTATGTTGTTGTCACAAATTCTAATTTTGTGGTTGAAAGTTGGCCGATGATTGATTCTTTTAGAACCAAAAGATCAGTGTTATTAAAATTGAGCCGAGCCGGTCGGTCGGACCGGTAAAACCGTCACCCGACCACCAACCCGGCTCGGTACACTCAATTAACTACAGCGGCTGGGAAGGGCGGTTTTTGACCGGTCGGAGCCGTTAATCGTTCAAGCCGCTTGAACCGCCCGACCGGTTTTTAACACATGACCCGTTCGTCTGCTATTAAAAATATAAAAAATGCAGGGTTGAAATGTTGAAGACGCGAAGGCAGCACCGCAGCAGCAGCCCCGCCGTTGATTGGTCTCCAACAGAGTGATAGGGACGATGGAGGAGAGTCGAATATGGTGATGGTCTGATGGAGGAGAGTCACAGTAGAGTAAGTGAAAAAATAAGAAGAAATTAAAGAAGAAGAAAGAAAGGGAAAAGGGGAAGAATGGGGCCGCAGTAGGAGGGAATGGGGAAGGAGAGGGAAAGGGGAAAGAGTGGGGCGG